AGCCCTGCCGCTGTGCTCTCACTGCAATGCCGTGGCCTGTGCTGCACCTGTGCCTCTGCAGCCCTNCCGTGGCCTGTGCTGCACCTGTGCCTCTGCAGCCCTGCCGCTGTGCTCTCACTGCAATGCCGTGGCCTGTGCTGCACCTGTGCCTCTGCAGCCCTGCCACTGTGCTCTCACTGCAATGCCGTGGCCTGTGCTGCACCTGTGCCTCTGCAGCCCTGCCACTGTGCTCTCACTGCAATTCCGTGGCCTGTGCTGCACCTGTGCCTCTGTGGCCCTGCCACTGTGCTCTCACTCCAATGCCGTGGTCCGTGCACCCCTTAGTGCATCCCTCTGCCCGCCAACGGCACCAATTACACTCAGCTCGCACGTTAACCTCGCCATTGTGCGACAATTACAGGAGGTTCATGCGGACAGCTGCCCAAGTTCCCAATCAGGTTGCCTGCTCACTCCTTTGCAAAACCACAACACAGTAAAATCAAAATGTGTGTGTGTGGAATCTCTGCCCCATTGGGGGAACAATAGACAACAGAGAAAAACGTCCTGAAAGCAGCAGGCAACTCTAGCAAAGGAAAGCTGGCAGAACACAAGCGAGGCGGAGGAGCCGATTTGACATCCCGATTACTCTGATCTTGAGACAAGAGTGGCAATGCCAGCCTTTGTTCCTGCTCTCATTGTGGCTCTAGCCACTAGCTATGAATATAACGCTCTACACTTCACAGATTTACACTGTGCGGTCAAGCTTCATGAATACATTCAAATGTACAGTAAAGAGTTTTCAGGTCAGTAAAATGGATAAAGAGATGATGTAATACATATGACATGATTAAGCTGCATAAGTCTCACTGACATCACTTTACTGGTATCCATGCAAGGGCAGCCCGAGAATTACATCACTGGGACAAAAAAAAAAGCGTGCTAGCTAGAAAAACGAAGTGGCAGCATGTGAGTATCGCGTGAGTACAGTGTGTGTATGATGCAAGTAGAGCAGGGGTGGCCAATCTTATCCACAAAGGGCCGGTGTGTATGCAAGTTTTTGGGATAACCTGTAGGTCAGCTGTTCAAACCCAAGTGTGAGGACTCTTCAGCCAATCAGTCCTCTAATTAGTAATCTAATTAGGGAGTTGCAGTGAAAACTCACATACATACCAGCCCTTTGTGGATAAGATTGGCCACCCCTGGAGTAGAGTGTGAGTACTGTGTGCATCCAAGCAGCTCTGGCTCACTGCACTTTTGGGAAAAAAAACAGCTAAAACATTTCCTGTGAGCCTCAATCGATGACAAGTGCTGATTGGGAGAGATTGCTGTAAAACAAGTGTTTTGTTTGGTTTGGTTTGGTTTGGTTTGTATCACCCCAGAATATGGTGAAAGGAAAAGAAAAAAAAGTACATACTACTATGGGGATTAACCTGTTACAAGTTAGACTGATATTGTTTTAACCTGATAAACAATTTTGATATGAAATAGAAAATATAAAAATCAGTTTTCGCAAAATTGCATGTGAATGTCATGCCACATGGAAATACAATAAAGCATTTATTTACATGAGCTTCTGTATTTGTATATTAAAAAAAGTCTTTTTTCTGTGTTTTGTAATGTTTGCATTCATATTTTTACTTGTTAGTCCCGTCAAAGAAAATACAGTGATCAAATGACACCTATTTGCCAGAATGAACTTTGGCAAGAGCTAAAAACACAGTTTTATTCTTCCTGGAATGACAATGACCTTCTTATAACAAAGCCCATATACTTTAGATCTGCACACATATGTCCCAGTTCTTGGAAAAGCCCTCTGGAACTACCTGCCGTGACCTTCTGCACTCACGAGTGCCCCCGTCATGCCCAACTGAGAGTTAAGATGATGCCCACAACAATAACACAAACTGCAATGCCGCACTCACCGTAGGAACAGGACAGAAGGCAGCCTCCTGGGGGCAGGCTCACAGATCTGAGGAGTGTTCTAGGGTTCTGCACACCAGACGTCCTGATCCACGCCATTAATTGGTTCTGGGATACTTCAGCTGTGTCGTATTGCTGTGGAAGTCTTGAGGATTGGTTTTTTTTGTTTGTTAAAAAAACCACCACATTCTTTCCTCAAGGACAGCAAGGATGGTCGCCAAATTACTCACAAGAACCACAAGCACAAGACACATATCCCATCCTATCCACTTCCCTGCCAAAGATTTGGAGCCCTCTTCAGATCGACTACCAGCCTGCTCTTCTGTTAATGCAGATATTACAGGCACCTGTTAAATTAGCTCATGGGAGTTTTACTTAAACAGAAATGATCTGAGGGCAGAAGGAAAATGGATTGGTTTAGAGAGATAACCAATCAGATTATAGGGGAGGTCTTGGTTCCACCTCCTCTATAATCTGATTGGTTATCTCTCTATACCAATCAATTTTCCTTCTGCCCTCAGAACATTTTTGTGGTAGTAAAACAAGTGTTAAAGAAAGCATGAAAAACTGCAGGAATAGAAACTGGGAGGCTGGTTTTTGGTGATTTATGTAGTCCTTCAGTCATGTGATTTATGGGGTTCTTTTCTTCTGGAGAACAGCAATTCAGCCATGCAAAGAGCTGTACTACAAACCACTCAAGTTTGCTGGGCAAATACGTGATTACATATTCTATCCTCTTGTTTTAACTGTTTACTGCCAAACCTTTACAGGTGAGTGATATTTTCAAGGACTGCTGAAATGTTTAAACAAGTGTGGCGGACATCTTTTTGAGACAAGCCTACTGTGGACAGTACCAGTGATGTAAGGCAAGGAAGTGAAACGTCACTGAATTCGACTCAATCTGCTTTATGAGAAGGTTGCAGCTGGAGGTTCTGGATTCATTTCACAATAGATGGTTTGTTAACACTGACGAGCAGGAACCTGGTAGCTCTGAGGCATGAGGCAGGAAGACCTAGATAAACTGAACTGATGGAGTCCTACATTAAAACCACCCAGCTTACACAATGCGTTACATCACAAGGACACAGCGGAGCCGGGGCTTATGCAAACATCTCCCTCTGACGTACTGTCTTTGTGGGCGTATGGAGAGTGACTTCTAATTCCTACTCATCAGTGGCAAAAGACAGCTGCCCCATTTGCAGAGGTTCCTGCAATCGGGGCATCTCCACCTGCATAGCTATGATCTCAAGGACTTCCTACCTATCAACAGACGGGAGTCTGTCTCAAGCGCTTCGGGGCTGGATTGTGGCACACAGTGGATTTGGGTTTGTGAGAGGTTTGATTCCTAACACAAGACGCTAACACATGTAAATGTGGTTCGTCATTGGCTTCAATATTACCTGATATCTAGATATTACTTTCACCAGACACTGAACACAAAATATGTAGAGTATAATGCATAAATAAAATAAATCAAAATTTAAGGAGCAACTTAAGTACCACCCCTAAGGGTAATGAGGTCCCTGGCATGAATTTAACAACTAAAAGAAAAACATGAGACCCTTCTCAAGATCTGAAATGTGCCCAATTGTTACTGACGCACTTAATGCAAGAAAACCAAACCATACCATGAGCTGCATTTATTAGCCTAAATTAAACCAACAAGAATACAAAATATACGTTTACAGGACACGGAAAAAGGAAGTGGAAATGTGCAGCAGCTTTAGGATTGTTGAAGAGAAGCTATTTAGAGGTAAGTATGCTAATGCAACACCAATGGTCTGAAATGAAAGTAGGTTAGTGTTCATTGTTACGCTCCAAAACAAGTAGACACAAGGTAGGGTGAAGGTAGGGCATGCATGCTTCTCGGTGGCGTGTGATGTCAACCTTCACATGAGGCGGACATGGTGGCAGCGGCTCTCATGGGCAGGTCAGCTTTATACTCAATCTCACTCCCTCAGCTTTATGTGCTGCTAAGGTCACTATGTTACGGCTAAATCAGAGGGGGCCTGTTCCTCTGTCTGCCAGGGGGCCAAGCAACCCAGATTTTGTATCCCCCCCCTCCCCATTTGCATATCATTATTAGAAAATAAGTGAAATGTACATGCAAAAAAGGCCTATATCACAAAAGGGATCAAGGGAAAGGGAT